CGGGGGCCGGCAGCGGGCCTAGCGGGCTTCGGCGGCTGCGGGCGCAGCGGCGCCACGTGTCGCGCTGTGATTCGTCCGGGCGCGGCGGCGGACGCGTCCGGTCCGATCCAGACGTGTCCGGCGGCGCGGAGGGGAATTTCGCTAGGGTTAGGGGGGAATTGATCCGGGATTTCGGGGGAGGAGGCATATTTATAGATAGAGGGAGCTAGGAGACTCCAAATGGGGTGCGGTTTTCGCCCACACGATCATGATCCGACGACGGAGAGCATGGAAGTGACTTAGATGGGTTATTGGGCTGTTTTGGAGGGGTGTTGGGCTGCAACTCAAAAGAGGCCTATGCGAGAGTGCGGTTAACCGTTGGAGTATCAAACGAGCTCCAAATGACCCGAAACTTGACAGGTGGTCTACTGGTGGTGTACCAAGGCCACTTGGCAAGGCTCAGTCCATTCCGAGAACGTTCAACACCCGCACACGAGAAAGAACAAGAGGGGTGCGCCGGTGCATGTGGGAGTGTCGGAATGCAAAACGGACAACGGGGAAAATTCTCGGAATCAAGAGACAAACGCGTATGCAAATGCGATGCACATGATGACATGATATGAAATGCATGACATGGACAAAATGCAAAAATGAAGAAAAACCCAACCACGGAGGGAATATCATATCAAAATGCTGAAAATGGCAAGAGTTGGAGTTATAAATATGGAAAGTTACATCCGGGTGTTACACGCTTGCTTAGGGGTCAAGTAAGCCTTGCTTGGGAGTCAAGTAAACCTCTCTCTATAAAGAGAGGAGATGTATCAATCTAATCAAGCAATAATTAAGAAGGAAATCCCTTCCCTCTTGCCCGACCGTGGCAGAAAGGCCCCGGCCGGCCCTCTCGCGCCCTCCTTCTAGCAACGCCGTAACAGTTTGATAGTACTGCCTCACTCTATGTTGCCTCCAGTAAAATATACAATTCTGAGAAGTATATGACTCCTCTTCACGAGTTGTTTCCACTTCTACAAACAAAGGAAACACTCACTTCAGCTGAGGAGCTTGCATAGTTCAAGGTATTTCCCCCTCCCTTAGTTACTCCGTTTCTATCATAAATTGGTACTATAGAAATGATGCATTCTTACATTATTTCACAGCAAGCATGCATAACCCTTGTTAAGTTTGAAGGGAGGGTAACAGTTGGATAAGAGCCATTTCTTATCTCCATGATAGACTTACCTTTGACTCACACTAGTGGACCCGTTGCGCCAAATGTTGCAGAGACCTATTGATTCCATGTTAGCGATGAAAAGTAATCCATGGTTTAGTTGCTTAGTTATAGGCAAGCACATATGACAATAAATTTAATCTCCTGGAAAAACAGGGGCTTGCTGTCTACAATGAAATGTATATACACATTAAAATTTGGTAGCATAGAGTTCTATTTGAAACAAATCTATGTAACAAATCTAATCCTTGTCGAAAATGCACAAAAACATAAATGATTCTTCTACTACTCGGACTCATAGTCATAGTTCAAGTCTTCATCATCATCGCTGCCGTTGGAGTCCAAAGTTGGCCAATCCTCTCATCTTCATCTATGTTGGCAAAGAAATCCTCTCTTCCTTTGCATGAATCCTCTCTTCCGATTTTCGCGGAAAAGAAATCCTCTCTACCATGCATCCCGCTCGGCATGAGTGGCGGAAGCGAACATGACAGTTTCACGCTTCTCTTCCTCTGCTCTCAAATTCAGTAATCCTCACATCAGCGCCTGAAGCATCACTGCTTGCTGCAGTTGCTCCTTCCTCTTGTATATTCCATGTTTATCAGGTAAAGATGTTGTAATCCACCTTAAAAAAAGAGAACACATACATTTACCTTAGGAAGCTCAAAATCTGGGTTCAATAAAGCTACCAGATCAATCGAGATAGAGCCAAAACTACATAAGTAGCAGAGTTACCAACAACAAAAACAACAAGCATTTCTAACCCTAATACCATCAAAAGCATGAAAAGGACACACAAGTCTTCTTTAGATAATCTTATAGCATCAGCTACAACTACTCGCAACAACGTCAAAGGAGTTCAGAAAGAAACTTTGGATTTCAATCAGCTTGAAAAAATACATGCTGCCGAACTGAAAAACAATCCACATCTAAACAGAAAGACAATGACTCTTATTTGATGAATAGAGTACCACTGAAAGCTAAGTAGCACAGAGCCCCAGTCTAAGACACATACATCAACGAACCCACTGAAAAGAGGCCTTCGGAAATCACCAGATTCCATAGAACTTGCTAGTCTTTTTAGGAATGAGTATCCCAGTTCTGTAATCAAGAAGGCGAAGAGACAGAAACAGGTCCTCAGACCGTCTTCTGTTAAGCCAAAGCATGGACAGTGAAACCATCACGGATCAGACAAAGGTATTTTCATTTCGTCTGCATATACTATACACAAGTAACTCAAGATAGCTTGATTTTCCTAAGGTTTTTAGTTTTTTTTACATTGATATATATTGATGCACTTTTAATTACCGGTGTCAACAACTATTTTAGAGACTACGCACTTTGTCGTTGAAAAGTTTGCTCGTACAAGGAACATGCTAGAAGCAATAGCCGTGGGCATACCTGTAGTCACACCATCACGGGTTCAATGCCGTGGAGAAGCAAGGTGCTTCATTGTGAGAAAAAACAGAGAATGAGGGATACAAAGAAGGAAAAGGATCTTTGCTTCAGCATGTTTGTCTCACTAAGACAAGCCTGCAAGAAGTTACTGTTCGAGGTTAGTGTCTAGTTTATTAGCATTGAAATTTCTAGAAATAGAGAACTGCATAAAAAGCTCTAATGATGTATCCAAAAAGGGTTTGTGTAGAGGATTAACTGAACAAAAGGAGGACCTCACCAGGCGGAGATGCAACGGGAAGGGAGAAGGGAGGATGCTTCGCTGTTCCCTGTGGCGATCTGGGTGGGAGTTGATAGCTCCACAACGTCATTGGGCGCGCATCTGCCGCGGGACACCCCTTAGCAGGCTTCTTTTTGTTCTGTTATGCAAATAAGACTGCTACTTGTTTGCCACGAATAACCTGTCCGTCCATGTAGTATTTTTCATCTGCAGCATCACCAGGATTGAAGTACTGGACAAACCCAAATACTCGAGGCTCCCTGCAATGTACTCAAGAAAGTAGAGATCGTATCAATCCTTAAAATAGGTTAATAGATTATGCTCCTGAGCAATGTAACACAGATTATTCAAAGTACACAACGACCAAACCATTGTTACGCCCAACTATCAAAGACAACACACAGATCAAGTAAAACAAGTGAAATGCACATCTGCTGCTGACCTTGCACTCATAAGTACACCTTCAAACGCAACAAACATGTCCCTCTTCTTCATGATATCCACCATGGCATTAGATTCACAAACATAATATTAATTTTTGCAGCAATGCAAGGTTTACTAAACACACATTTTGCTGTATTGATTTTCTTGGATAAGAGAGAACGTGGGAGCCCCATTCTTACCAATTTTTTGGATCATCGCCTCGCCTATCCTGCAACCTAGCAAGCAACCACAAAGGTAATCATGAATTTATAGCAACTATAATCGGTCATGAGAAAACAATATAAGAAATTGTCATGTGCAAGCTCTCGGTTCTTTGCCAGGTTTTGGCGGGGACGGAGAAGCATACCCAGAGAAAATTTGTACCGCATGTCAGCTCCTGGTTAGCACCGGTATTGAAGGAAGCCCAGCCATCTCGCGAGCGGCCTCCTTGGAACTTCGATCTCCACTAACACTTCGACCCTGAGAAGCACAAAGAGCTGAAGATGATATTAGTAGCACAATCATTTCTCATCATCCTTGCATTTTGTAAGTACCGAGGTTCAGAAATAAATACAATCACTCATAATTGAGATGTAGCACGTTTCTAAACGACACTAAAATAAACAGAAGTAAAATAAGTATGTGTATGTGCAGAATCATCAGCAATACTGTGAGACATGGTATAATGCTAGATATTAGATATGATAAAAAAGACCATAGATAAAAAAACACAGGAAATCACTCAACAAAACTTGCAAAACATGTTAGATAAACAGATTTGGCGTTCATGTCTCGCAGCAAATATCGACAAAATGGAGTTGCAGAAAGCACTCACATTGCGCATGAACACCAAATCTGTTCTTGTGCACCACCTCCCTTCTGTTGAACAACCATGACATACCCCATTTTTACAAAGGCAAAATAAGATCACAATAACAGTGACAGAGGACTGAAGAAAACTCAAAATGGGATGTATGTAATGGAAATGCTTGAACCTATACTTGCATAGTTATATTCAATGCATATAAAATAAAGCTAATAAGGGCGAAATCCAAATGAAAATGATGTCTATGTTTTAGAGGAGAAAGTGAGAAAAACCAGCTGGGCATGGTAAAATATATTAACCTGTAGCCTAGCATTACTACCAAAGAAAATGGAGCCACCGATCATGTCAATGGAAACATACATAAAGTGTTTTACTTATTTTCACCACTCATTCTTCATATTTATGTGCTTTCCAAATAAAAGGTACATTAAAGCCTTGTGTCTTATGAAATCATCATGACACTACACTTCACAAAGTTTTATATGAATCACGGTGATAAGGAACCATCCAACCATACGAAAAAGATATCATCAAAGCATGTGGAGATAGCTACATTGTTTTGTACTTTAAGAAGAGGGTTGCATGATTTGTCAGTATGAAACATATGGAGGAACCAATCTGGGGAAATGTCCACCTGGTTAAGAAGAGATACCTAGTTACTGGGAATCATCTAATGATCCAACCACCACCAGCCCTGACGATGCTTTGCCCTTGCAAAGAACAGTCTGCATAGGAACCTGAAGAAAACATGACAAAACAGTATAGCTCAGTGTGGGAACCTGAAGATATCCTCAACAGAGACATGATAAAATATCAGTAGATAAGTGACTAATTAGTGCGCTGATGAAACCAAGAACACACCCTCTTCAATCCTCATGTCCTCACCCTCTTCCTCAACCAACCATCCTGGCTTTCGGGTGCCGTCGTCGATCCCATGCTCCCTGACCCGTGCTTGGTGGTAGGCAGTGGGTAAATGGAAGAAGGATCCAGGAGTGGATCGAGCCGCCATCAACTGCCAGGCAAAGGTTACCCAGCGAAATTTAACCCAGCCAATAGGGAGAGACACTGAGCCCACGAGTCATGGACCTTAAAAATAAACCGCAATGTGAAACTCACAGTAAAGATCAGACGGACCTAGCTGCTCGATTGACCAGATTCAAGGCGATCGGACGGCGAGGAACATTCCAATCCGAGGGACCTTCGTGGAGGAGGGTCAGCAGCATTGGACTACACGGTCTGTCTACGGAGCGAAGCCTTCGTAACGACTCAAGGAAGCAATTTCCCTCATTTCCTTATCGGACACAGGCGTTATTTGTATGGGGGGCATGCAAAGACAATAGCACTAGATAAATGAAAAATGGTGCTACTCTTTGGCAACCTGGTATCAGGTCAGCTTTGAGTAACCCCTGTTTGATATGTCTTAAATGTGTTAAGAATAGAATAGTTGCTTACTAATTAAGCTAATTAGGATTAAGTTAATTGTTAGATAGGTTGCTTGGTTCTCAAGCAACCATGTACTTCCTTGGCTCTCAAGGCAAATATGTAATTTCTTGGCTCTCAAGTAACTATGTGTTTACTTGACCGCCAAGCACCATGTGTACTTCCGCATGAGTATAAATACTGCACTTTTATTATCAATAAAGACTGATGGATCATCTTTCATTCAAACTCTCTCGTTCTTTACTTTCTACTTTAAACACGTTATCATGCACTTTGCTATGCCGAGAGCGAGGAAGCCACAAGAAAATGAACCGCTCTTAGTTGTGAAGACTATGGCATCGTTCCCCTGGTTGGCGAAGCCATCCTACGAATAGTCGAAGAGGAGAGAAATTATCATCCGCGCGTACGTCGCTGCGGGGGATTACAAGCTGTCGTGGATGCATGCGTCGTGCACAGGAAGAATTGATCCCGATCAATCAAGACTTCATGCATTGATTCTTTGTTCTTGCTTAGATTAAACAAATATACTAATATAACAATACCTTGTCCGCATGCATCAATTTGCGACAAGGAGATTTTGGCCTGAAGCAAGAATGCGATTACCACCCGTCAACGGCAAGAATCCACTGATACGGGGTTTCAAAACAACAAGAATCTGCCGAATCTCCTCCTCCTCCAAGAAAGAAAGTTAGGGTTCATGCCTCTTCTCCGTTTTTAGTCTTGTAAAGGATTGTTCTCAGGACCTTCGTCACAATGAGGAACAAATCTAGTGCAGAAAATGGAGGATGAACTCATTTGCACTCAATAATATCGGAGACCTCAGGTAATCTCCTAATTATCCCAACATATTATTAGCCTATACCTGTACTGCTACATGTAGTAAAATGTCCAATATCATATCCCTTGGATACAATATTCCATAAATTTGAATGTACGTTTCAATTCATACTCAATATTGTTGCATACACCATGATTTTCTAAGTATTAATAAATTAAATATTAGGCTTCATAGCCTTAGCCATCCTGGTTGGGGGTGATTAGAAAAATATTGACAATTCTGTTGGTCACAACTTAACAAGTTGCAAAATATTCCCCATATCATCAGACTATATGTGCATCACATGTGCCATAGGGGAACTCTGTTTTAAGGAACTCTCACCTTAAAATTCTAAATGAGTCACTTATTCTTCCTTGAACACATTCAAAAGATATATGTGGAATGTTGAACCATTATCTTGGGTAATTTAGATACTTTATGGTACTCATATACACATTCATAAAATGTTTTTAAGTGCGTCTCTTATCACACACAACCGTGATCTTACCCAATAAATTGCTTAACTTACTAAAGTAGGAGCAAATTCTCAACAAAGGATAAACCCAATCGAATGGACAATGCCATTGAACTCATTTCACGAGAATTTTCGGATTGCATTCAATACTCTATGTACATACCCAGAATGGTTTAACTAAATTTTTGTCAAAGATAGTCAATGAATTACATGACCACTTTTAAAGAATTGTAAATTTACCAACCTCTTGCTGGACACATATGGCCTTACACACCATAAGTATATACGATCTAAATCATACCAACTACATATCATACTACTTTCCCCTTGTAGTTACTACGTGAAAATCAACAAAGTATTTCTTATCTGAGATAATTCGGTTACAAGCCGATATTACCACGAAAATTAGGGATCTATGTGAGGAATAACAATTTATCCGTCAATCCAAATTATTCATAGCCCATATGCTGATTGCATCAGCAATAAGGATATTTTCCGGTATTAGGGGGAGATAAGTACCACAAAGAATGCCGAGAAATAAATTAGAAATGTTATTGACATTCTATCCTTATATCCACATACTCAAAGAATCTGAACTAGGAGTTTAGAGAATCATATATTTGCAACACATTGCAAATCTGCCACATACATTTATTGATGACAAGGTGTCACTAAATTCTATATTCCTGCAGTAAAGTTTTAGAAAGGATGGAGGTACCTGATAAACCACTCTTCTCCCCAAATGAGAGCAAGAGTGGGAGAAAATCCGACAATACGAGATATAAGTTCTCATATGCTTCTGCGGAAACAGAGGGAATCAAATCCTCAACCAGTAAATGTAATTCAACATCAAGTTGAAAGACACCTCACTGGATGCTCATCATCCATAGCCCGGCATAAATGTGCACAAATGTTTTGGTGTCGGGACATCGAAACACCTTGAGTCCATTTGTTGTAGGAAATCACAAGGAGTTAAAAAGGAATAAATATTTTATCCACAAACTTCAATGATTTCATCAGAATCATATAAACTAAAGACTACATTTGTCGACATATATTTCTTCTCAAATTGTGAAAACCTTTTGGGCCCAAAACCAAAATCCATGGTAGAGTGCCTCTTGCACTCATATTGGTTCACATAAAAGGAAGCAAGTAATGAAGAATATCACTCGCTCAACAAATGAGTGGTATTTTGTGACGCCCCCGATTCAATCATACACTAATCATACACGCAAACGTGTACGATCAAGATCAGGGACTCACGGGAAGATATCATAACACAACTCTAAAAATAAAATAAGTCATACAAGCATCATAATACAAGCCAGGGGCCTCGAGGGCTCGAATACAAATGCTCGATCATAGACGAGTCAGCGGAAGCAACAATATCTGAGTACATACATAAGTTAAACAAGTTTGCCTTATGAAGGCTGGCACAAACTGGGATACAGATCGAAAGAGGCGCAGGCCTCCTGCCTGGGATCCTCCTAACTACTCCTAGTCGTCGTCAGCGGGATGCACGTAGT